TAATAACACAGATGATGCTCATGAGAGGTTGTGTAATTGTACCTGCATTTTGAAAGATGAAGGATAAAAATAAATCTTGGTACAAATCAAGATTTTACTTGTAGTCATGAAGAGCCAAGAGTAAAGATTCAACATGATTATATGGGTATGAACAGTCTCATCCAGTACTGACTTGTTCCTTTTCGATTGCTGATGGTTTTTACCATCAGATTTCAGTAATGAGTGTTTCTCTCCCTGTATAATTCAGATGAATTTGTTTGATTTTGCATTGCAAATACAGTTGATGTAATGAGCCAGGGAGTTGTTGCAGCTCCTGGCATGGACATGTCTCTGGCCAGGAGTGCGGGAGAAGAATTCAGACCCTGTCTGACCAGGCAGGAGTGAGCTGGGGAGAGCCCAAGGCATGTGGATAGAGCAAAGGGACCCCTTCATGTTATCCCAGAGGAGTCCTCCTGGGTTTGGTTCCTCCATTGATTTCATCACTTATTTTGCTATATCATGAAGCTGCAGTAGGGTGTTAGGCTCAACAGTTTTTCTTTCCTGGACATCACAGGTTAGTAGAAATTCCTCCCTGGGAAGACACTATCAAATTCCCACATATTTCCTAATGAAAGAGCAGAAACCTGGAGTCACTTGTCCCATACAGTTTCTCCAGGAAGGGGTAGGGATGGCCACTGGTCTGTGGCTCAGCAAGGGTGGAGGGTTTATCTTGTTAGGAGACAGAAGAGCTGAAGAATGGCACAGAACTGGTCTATCAGTATCCAACTGCCTCTAGTGCACATGCCTGCCCTCAGTGTAATACATGGTAGGAGATAAACCATACTGAAAGCAAAGAAACTAGGTGGCTACTCTTAGCACAGCAAACCCAAGCACATTAGTTACGGATGCACTAGATCCATTAATTTCTCTGGTTTACCAGGAGCATAAGAAGGGAGAGTATTTTGCAGTATTTTGCCAACTGATTGACATTTAGGTGATGATGGATATATGGGCATAAAACTTTGCCCAACACACATCCACCCGCAGCTGTCGGGGTGAGGGAGGGGGGCTTCCTCTCCTAGTTCTGCAAATATGCTTAAAGAGAAAGTGTCCCCAGTCATTTGCCACTGCTCCAGGGCTGAATCACTCAGGAAGCCATCTCTCTTGATGTCGACATGATGTGTGTGTTAGAGGTAAAAAGAAGTTTTCATGCAGGGGACTGCACAGGAAAAAAGACTTCCCTGCAAGCCCATCTGTCCCAAGGCACGCAAATATGTTGCTGCAGCTTCTGCTGGCTAAGGTTACAATAAAACAAAATAACACTGTGAGGGAAAGCACTTTGTAACTCTGAGGAGGTGAGTCTCGAGGCCAACTCTTCTCGATTTTGGTGACTCCTAACATCTTTTTCACGAGAGTCTCTCTCACGTGCTCACTTGTCCATCTGGGGACACGGCAGATGACCTCTCTCCCAGAGAGGGACTCTAAGTCTGTGCAAGATCTCATGGGTTGCAGGAGGACCAGCAGGCTCCAAGCCAATGCAGTGGTATTGCTGTGACACTCAAATGCCAGTAAATTCCAAAATAAAGGGTTTGATCACAGCATTAAAAACTTCCCACACGAACCATTTTGAATGACTGGAGGGTGACAATCTAAATATAAATCTTAATTTTTTTTTTAAACACTGGTTTGAGGCACAGAAATACAGCTTCGGTTGACTTTCAAGAGGAGTCTGTGGGAACATCTGACAGCAAAATTAAGTTATATGTTTCTTGTGGGAGTTTGTTTCCTACAAAAACTGCAAACCCCTCGTTTCCCTGGCACTTAGATTTTTAAACCTGTAATCCTAACAGGATATGAACTGTTTTCAATTACCCCCAGTGATGGTATTTCATCCTCCAAAGGAATCACCTGGGGAGTGGAGGGGAACAGGGACATTTAGTGCCAATGCGAGGGTGTGATTTATTTTTAGAACCTGTGTGGTGATCAGCTCAGCCAAGGAAGTTTTGTCACCGATTTCAGCAGGTCACGAGTTCACACACAGCTTTTGAATTAGTTTGGGAGAATAAAGCAGTGGGAAGGAAACGGAAGATCTGGAAGCAGACAGAGGAATAAATGGGGTAAGAGACCAATTAAACTGGATAAAAGCAAAGAGACAAACAGAGGGCATGGTGAGGGCTTTAATGACTTCTATAGCACATTTCAAGGGTATTTCAGGTGAAACCTTTTTTGGATCACTCATTTAAATAGCGTCATTTCCACCAAAATAACTGGTTACATGACCAGGGTGAGGTGGATTTTAACCTTTATGTAATCTTCCTACATAAATGTAATAGTTGCACAAAATGTACTTTTAGGATACGGTATAAAGAGAATCACAGAGTCATAGAAACAGTTAGGTTGGAAAAGACCTCTGAGATCATCAAGTCCAACTTTTGACCAATCACCACCTTGTCAACTAGACCATGGCAATAAGTGCCACATCCAGTCATTTCTTGAACACTTCCAGAGATGGTGACTCCACCACCTCCTTGGGCAGTCCATTCCAACGTTTCACAACCCCTTCTGTGAAGAAATTCCTCCTGATGTCCAATCTGAACCTCCCCCGGCACAACATGAGGTTATGTCCTGTCAGGCTGTTGCTGGTTGCCTGGGAGAAGAGGCCAATCTGCACCTGGCTGCAACGTCCTTTCAGGGAGTGGTAGAGAGTGATTAGGTCACCCTGAGTCTTCTTTACTCCAGGCTAAACAACCCCAGCTCCGTCAGCTTCTTCTCACAGGACTTACCCTCTAGACTCTTCGCCAGCTTTGTTGCCACCAGCTTCTGGACTTGCTCCAGCACCTCCAAGGTGTCACAGTGTGTTTCTTTGTGCGTGATCAGATGTCCACTGGAGACGGAAGGACAATGAAACTCAGTCCCAGGAAAATCCAGCAACAGTCATCCTAACTCAGTGAAGTTTGTAGCTTGTTGGCTGGAACCACTGAAAAACCTAATACATGATTAAACCCCAAATCCCATTGCACGGGGTCTAATGAATCACCTGTAACTGCCTCACCATGTACACACCAGCCCTTGTGCAGGGCCCTGTCCAGCACACTTGCTTCTCTCCAAATTAAGACCACACCTTTTGTCACATCTCAGTTAGGTGGGAGCAGGATGGAGGTGTCAGAAATGCACATGTGCACATTGTAGGGTATGCTGGAAAAGGGGGAAGCCAGTGTGGCACAGTGGTGACATGCTGGCAGACAGCCTGAACAATCAGCTGGTACCAGCACATGCATGTGATAAAATGCCACGGACACATTTGGGAATTTGAGGCAGCCCCATCATCTCAGTAAACACCTAGTAGTGTAGCATAATGTAAACATAAACATAGATATAAATGCAGCCATTACGAGAGGGCTGAATTCTCCTTGCAATAAATTGGAGTAAGGGCTATTTTTACCCTCCTGCCTCTGGAGAGGGTTTTGGGGGGCCTGTAGGCAGACATATGCTCTGGCTGGGTACTGGCATTCCCGCATCTGCTCCCAGAGGGGTCACCAAGGGTCTGAGTGAGCCAGCCCAGACCTGAGGGCAGTAGATACAACCAGCAGCAGACACAATGGAAGTTGTCTCCCAGAGAGCTGGTTGTCTTCTCCCACCTCCTGCTACACACCAAGGCTGGATGCTTTCTCAGTGGCCTTTTGTTTACACCAGGATGAGGCCCTTGAGAGACCTTGAGAGCAACTGTGGGGGCTGCTGGTGCTGTTCATCCAGGTGAGTTTGCTCTTCCCCTCAATTTCTTGGCTGCCTTCTTGGAGAGCAGAGCTCAGTGCCTCTTGTTTTCCCATCAGGAAATGAGCTGATGTAGTGGTGGTTCCTGGTGGTTGCCCAGGAAAGGATACATTTGCAAACCAGTAAGGTACCAGAACAGTAACATCAAAATGGAGAGGTGTAGAAAGTGTAATTGTTACTTAAAAAAAAAAAAAAAGTATTTACAGAAAATATGAGTATTTACCAAATTAGTAGAATTTTCCCTCCATACCCTATGATGGAGTACTTTATGGTTGGAATTCTGAAGAAATTAAAATATTCCAAAATCTTAACTTCTTTGAACATGGGAGGTCCTGAATAAATCCCAGAGGAATTGGACTCCCAGCACAGCATTTTTGAGGACACCTAACATCAGTGGAATCAGTGCTAGACAGCCAACGTCTTCCCTTTCCCCTTTGCTGCTGGGCCCAGCATAACTTCTGGTGGCTGCAACTCTTCAGCCCTTATCCTTTCTGCCAGGAAAATAAGTTATGTGTGTTTTGGCAAGAAAGGCTGTTAAACCAGCCCCTGCAGGTTGTGTGACTGGCTGGGGTGTCCCAGCAGCAGCAGGTGCAGCAGGTGCCCTCCAGAGCATGTGCCCAGCACCAGCTCTCTCCAGGGCTTGTTTTTATTAGCTGAGGAACTGGGGACAGCAACAGGGGCTTTAGCTGGGTTTACAAACCAGAAAGGTTTGCACTTTGGGTCTATGTTATCTAGCAGGATTAGCAAGCCTCAGTGTTTGGTGCAGTGACATTTATCTGTTTGTTGTGTGATTGATCTTGTAAGGGCCTTTCTAGTCAATACCAAAATTTCCAGGATTTATCTTAATACCTTGGACAGATGGATCCTATTGATTTGAATGGAAGCTGTGGAGAGGGGATATATCATGAGTTCCTTATAACTGTTTACAGAGCAAACAGTTTCCATCTGCTTTCTCCTTTATTGTAAAGCAAAGGCAAAATTTAACTCAGCTGCAAAATTTAACAGGTGACCATCCTGTACATTAGAAGCACGTCACACCAGTTATTATCCTGCCTGGCTCTGTTTGACCACACACAGTTTAGTCAGCATCTGTGGAGTTCTGGGGTCTCCCCTTATGGCTCTGAGGTCTCCAGGCCATACATTTACAAGGGAATCTCTCAACCAGGAGGGGCTTCTGCCTTACCTCCTACTCTCCATGCTCAGAAAAAAACCAGTACTCACATACACATCCCAGGCAACATTTTTTTTTCTCCTGTTTATTTCAAAAGTCTTTGTAATAACTTAATTGCAACATTCCAAATGTCACCTGGAATTTGACATCCTCCCAGATGTACAGAATTCATACTTGACCATATATCACAGCATTAAAAACACACAGTAAGGTTCCCCAAACACCATCAGTGGGTTCTTCCACAGTGTCATTAACCACTAGCTCTAAGAATCCTTCCCCAGCACCTCTGCACTGCTTTGCAATGTGGCTGCACATCAGCTGTCTCTGCCTCCTAGGTCCATAACCATGCTTCTGTGAATGAAGGGGTGCCAAGCCCAAAATACCCATTTTTGTTTGTAAATTGTATATAATGTACCAGTAGAAATGTGATCTGTATCTAATTGGCTTTGTATATGGCTTTTAGTCCTCTTCATTCAAAGATTTTATAGTGGAAAAATCCTGAGCTGACACAAAAAATGGGACTGATTCATCAAGAGCACTCATAATTACGGTATGTGTTGGAGGCAAAGTTCCTGTCAACCCAGAATTAAAGCATTTTAAAAATTGCCACTTGTTTAAACAGATTTCAATCTTGAAATTTATTCCAGTTTAATGTTCTGCCAGGAAGCATCATCTGAAAGAGAGTAAAAAAATCTATGTTTTCTAATCACCAATTTACAGGAACTTATGCTTCTTCATTTTACCACTTGACTTGATAAACACAACTGAAACTGTGCTGGAAAAATGCATCCATCTCCTTTTGACTTCTAGCAGGCATTTAAAAGTCATTACATCTGTTTAATTGGGCTATTTATTACCTGCAATTCAACTGAGTTACTCCAGATTCAGGTAACAGCAGCACTTGCTTCTTAGAGCATATCACCTCTTTTGGCTTATTTAGGTAATCTCTGTAGAGTTCAACTCTTTGGGAGAATGTTGAGTGATGCTGGGCACTGGAACCTGCTGCAGCTGTTCCTCGCTGGCAACATGTTATTTTTTCTGACCAATGCTCAGCTGAAATTCCTTTTGGTTGTTACAAATGTCCCTGGCTAACACCCATATGCAACAGTAGCAGTAAAAAGCTTGTGTAAGATTTGCTGCCATCCTCTGATTTCAGTACCAGTGATGAGAAATGCCCCTAACAGGGTAAAGACAGCAGCAGAAACTGGTTCAGCAAGTGCTGCAGCTGTTTGTAGGGCAATGTCAGCACCCCAACCACCCAGCTGATGCTCTCCTGAACCCAAGCTTCTCCCACTGCTGGAGAAGCATCTGGCTGCTGTGGACAGCGGCAGCTCTGCTCACAGCTTTTGCATGTGAGATCCTTACCGCCTCATTTAGGATTATTTCGCTTTTCTGGTATGTTGGTATTGGGTGTTTGGTTTTTTTACTTGGGTTTTTTGTTTCTTTTTTTTTTTTTTCGAAAAGCCATGACCACTTGAAGGTCAGCTGTCAAATGGACTGAGCGATCAGTGCAGGAAAATTGAAAATCATGACATCTTGTGTGTAGGCTGTGAATAATGGACAACATTCTTTTGATCATTAAAATAGAAAATTATCTATTTTCCAACGTTTTTAGTCCATTAAGAAGGCAGGGATATGAGCACATTGCTGATGATCTGCACTGGTCTCCTGGCAGTACAATCACAGGGGCTGGCAGTGGGATTGATCCCACACCAGGGGAAACTTGGCCAGAGGAGGCAGCTGTGGATTGCTATGACATTCAACTCCTCTCCAAAAATGACAGACACCTCGAGGCAGATCCATTTTCTGCTGGAGACTGGACCATTATTCATGGTCTCTGGACCATGGACATGCTTAAATTTGTGGACATTGGCAACTCCATCCCTGAGTGCTATGCAGCCAAGGCATGGCCTCAAATACATTTTGCTTTCATATAGGTGAAGAAAATATAAGCCTTGCCTGCCCTGGTGCTGGCAGAAACCCAGGCTTTTCCCCAAGGTACAGGTGCATTGAGCTTTGGAAAAGAATGCTATTGTAATTTTGTGGTGCATGCCTGAGCTTTGGGACACCTTACTTTCTGCTCAGAGCACTTCTTCTGTTGCTTCACTATACTTGTAGGATGGTAAGACAATTTTCCCTTTTTTTTTACTGATAATGATCTCTTAGCAGATATAACCAGCCCTTGGTAATTGATTCATCTTGCAATATTTATATATGCTGTCATCCTATGAAAGTCTAAACAAATCTATCCATTTTATGAGGAAAGTAGGATCACAGGAGGATTACTGCTTTGCTGATGCAGGGGGGAATGTAAAATGAGTTGATAACTGCACCTGCATCCCAAACACTCCAGTTCCAGGAACAACCCAGGGTTCAAAGGTGGTCAGAAACAGTCTAGCACAAGCTATACACACAGTACTTCGCTGTGCTTCTCAAGAGAGGCTCAATACAATGTCAGTCTTCTTTTTCCCTTTTTTCTTTTTGCCTTTCCCTGTATTTTTGTATGTTGGTAATTCAAACAGCACAGCTGCTGTCCCTGATTCAAGGGCAGGGGCAGGGGCAGGCGTGTGTGATTCCTAAAGACAGGGACTGAGGTGATGGCAAACACCTCCTGAGGCACAACAAAAGGGATTGCCAGCATCACCCAGCCAAGCTGCTTTAACCACCCCAGTGCCAACTCCCAGCCACCAAACCAACCTACGAAGGAACATCTTTGAGTATCAAGAGTCAGTACATTACCCTTGATGCTGTAGGTATGTACTCGAGGTCTTTTTGATAAAAGTGGTTAGCAGCAAGTAGAACCCCATGATTTACATTTCTTTGCCTGAACTGGAATTACATTAGCATGCCCTTGGTTTGCAATTGCCAAACAGGTACAAATATTTAAGGTTTTGAAGGTTTATACATGCAGTTCTGTTTGCAGCAGTCAGGTAGGCTCGGTTTTAATCCCTTTAGAAGCTCTATTCATAGGAATTAATGTACAGCACAGGGCATTTTCCAAATGAGATTTACATACTTCTGGCTAAGAATTTGAAAAAAAATTAGATGAAATGGGCCAATGAAACAGGAAAGTCTTTTTACATAAAACTTAATCTTTAGCATATTTCACTGGATTTCTGTTGGTAGGAAAAATATTGTTTACTAATTTCAGCCATGATACACAATTTATACTCAGGATTTAGATTTTACAAAACAATTTTTAAAAGAAAAATATTCATAAGAGTGACTAATTTTGGTGTGTCTGGGAACATCTGCTGGATATTTTGCTGGTGTCAATATTTCATCTATTTGTAATTAATACAAAAAGGAAAGAGATACTAACCAGAAAACAGCACAGAACTGATCACTGTTTTATAATTCAATGCAGAAGTGAGCAAATACCAAAACCATTGAAATAAACTGCAGAAGTAAAACTACTGAGGCTTGTAATAGGAAACAGTAATGCCAGCTCAGTTAAAGATACCTACCAAGCTGTGCTCTTTTAAAAAGAAATAAAATAAACAGGAATGTTTTTTGCGCATGTACCTTGAGACTTGAATAACTGAAATCAGCTGGAACTTTGAAACTAATATTTTTGCAGAGAGTGCCCAACAAGGTAGTATTCCAGTGAGCTAAAAATGTGTTTGTATATGTAGAATAGTACTTTTTATTTTTGTAAATAAACAATGTTTACACACACAATCCCTCCCCACCTCCAACAATCTGCAAACCATTTTCAGATGTGCTTTCAGATACTGAGGTTTTACAATAAAATTGGAACTGAATTATTGCACTGCCTGTGCAGTCTATTGATGTTACCACAAGCAAAAATTTTCTGGACATAATTTTACTTGCATGGAATAGGAAATTATACCCATTGAGAAAACCTGGCTGTTTGATTTGCAGAGTCAGAAATAGCAGTAATTTTTTCTCATTGTTTATTGTATGTTATAAAAGCATTACTTTTGCATTGACTCACTGGCTTCAAAAAGTACTGTTACATCTTGCAAAGTATAAAAGGAATAAGGGAACACCTTCGTATTTCTTAAGACTGTTTGATAAAGCACCACCTGCTGGAGAGCCCAATCCTGAAAACACATGGGATGATGATATTACACAATTTTAAACCTACCTGCATCCCATGCTGAGTCTGGGCTTGGGAGCTGTCTGGGACACACCTGGATCTGACTTTAGACCTCTTTTTGGCTATGCAAACTTTAGGGCAATCGCATTTTCTTTTTGATGGTTTAAAGTCTTATTCTAATTACAGAGTGGATGTTACCTATTTAATAAACAAAAAGAGAAAGAAAAAAGGCATGTGTCTTTATTGGTAGCCACAGACTGTGGCTGTGTAAACTGAAGTAGTCCTTCCTCAGTGCTGTTGCTGTACAACATATTTATCATGCATAATGAACCACTTACTGTGTATGTACTAATATACATATCCTTTGTGGAATCTCAGTGGAATTGCCTATTATTTTCTACAATGTAGTTTCTGTTTCCCTAGCATTCATGAAAGCAGAATTTGAGCTCAAATATGGACATATTCACACACAAAAAAAAGAAATTGTATATTGGTTGTACAATGAGCAATGCACAGTTCATTAGTTATTTTGTGTGAGTCAAGTATTAATTTGCCCTAATTGAAGTTATTATGTAACATAGCATTTATTGTATTATTTAAATATAGCATTGCAAATGTGTATTGGTTTGGAAAGGCACATTAGTAATCCAATTAGAGCAGAAGCCATACCCACAGATTTGCTAGCGATCAGCAAAATACGGTTTTGTTTAGATTAGCTCCGAACATTCGTTGCGATGATTTGTCACTGAATATTTTTCAAGTTAAAGGCTGGAAAAATACTAAGAAGTGAGAACGGTCTCATTGCTACAGCTAATTTTCATATAATTATAAATTCATCCCACATAGGCAATCAGGTTTATACTCTGCCCACATACTTGGCTATATGACCTCCACTACTACTATAAGTCTTTCTTTCAGTAGCAAGCTAAGACATGACTGAAATATGGGTAAATGGTCATAATATACCCAAATTTTCACCCACAGAAAGCTGGGGAAGGGAAAAGACTCAGGGCCAGGGCTGAAGCAGTGCTGGGACACCATGGTCATAGAGAGCTTTGGTGTGATTCTTACACCTCTCCTATCTTCCACCAGTAATTCTGGTTGCAATCAGAGCTCCTAATTGGGCTGCCAACTAGCAGGTACATAGCAAAGACGCACAAATACCCATCTTGCATTTTCAGTTGTGCCTCCTGCTGCATGGCCCCAACCACTGCCTAAAGAACATTTATATATCTTGCTAGCAGTAATGGGAGTTACTTGTGCAATGCTTCTTCTGCAGGGAGACAGGCAAACTGCAGCCTCGTCCTTCAGAAACTTCCATGTGCGGCTGAGGTCACTGAGATTACTTCTCTGAACATCTATATGGTCTGAAGGACGTCCTTCCTTATTGCAAGCAAATAAAAAAAAATCTAAATTTTTTGCACAAAATGAGAACTGTGCTTTGCAGATGAGAAGAAACCAAAGAGAAACAGATGACATCTCAGTGTGACTCCAAACTTTGTCCAAGACACAAACAGGGAAGACAAACCCCAAGAAGTAAATGTAGTGACTTGCCAAATGCTACAGGTTTCACAAGAAACTATTCCTTGTAATTGTTCTGCCCTGAGCTCAAGGGGAAAGAGAAGATGCTGCTTCACCATTGTCCCTCATTAATTTTCACGTAAATTTTAATTTTCATCTGCAAGGTATTAGCACATGTGCCAGGTGAACGTGGTATCTCCTTTGTCTGACCAGCTCACACCTGTGCCATCATTGTTCTCACTAAGGGCTGGCTCACAGAGAAGTCCCAAGTCCTGTAGCTTTCTGCTGCTCCTGAATGCTCTTCCCTGGGCTCAGGCAGCAAAAGACTAACCTGGGGCATGGGGTCTGAGCCCAGGTCTGCACTGCCTGTACAACTTCTCAGCAGGCAACTGGGATGTCTTGGTCTGTGCCAGCTAGGAGTCACTGCTGCTGTTCTGCAGGGGGAGGCTGAGGAGGTTGTATTAGGGAAGATGAACTTTTAAATCCTAAGTTAATTGCATTCTTTCAAGGCTATCAAAAAATAAAACCTAGAAAAAAAAATTTCAAGAATGTAATACAACTCCCAAATTACCTGAAAAGAAAGTGCAATCTAGTGCAGTGTGCTTTCACTGTCCCACTCTGTTCCTTCAGTTTCCTTCTGATTTCTTGTGCTTCAGCCTGTGTCCAGGTATTGCTGGTATCTGCTCTGTCTGTGAAAACGAAATACCAGGTGGAATTGCACTTGGTGCAATTGGTGCATGTTTAGGGGTTACTTCACAAAAGGAGCAGGTTGCCCCAGGGAATCTCGAGCTGGACCATGCACAACCAAAGAGGAGTTAGGTGCCCATGTCTGGTAAGTTTAAAGAGGAATTGTCATTAAGAAAAATGCTAAAGGAAGAGCACAAGGGACTACAAATGACTGATCTCAAATCTCCTATGTCCTCTTGGCTCAGGTACTCATGCACACAGGTGATGGGTGCCCAGGTAGTGTTAGCAGGCTAAAGAGTAGAGACTTGGAGCTTGGTTTTCATGCATCCTTGAAAAATACTTCAGCCACTGAATATGAGGGAACTGTAAGGCCACCCTTTGTCAGATGCTTCCCAGTGAGACCTGGTCAGTAACTTTGCTCTGACCCTCTCATAAAATGGCTTTACTGAGCCAGATGGGGTTGGGGATTTTTACAGGGCTTAGATACGAACTGGAGGTCCCTGTAGTTGAGCTTCTAGGGATATGTGCACTGCAAGAAATAGGGGCACTGGTAAACAACTGGGCATGCACTTTATATGCCTCTGAGGCTAAGGAGAAGCAGAATGGAGTGTATCAAGGATCCTGGGAATAAATAAACATTAGACCTAAGTGCATAGAGCAGCAATTAGATGCTCAAATCCCTTGAGAAGCCCAGCTGTAGGACCTGGTCCAACTTCCCCTGGGGTCAACAGGAACTGCAAAGGGTCCTGCAAAGGCACCACTGTAAACGACGGTACCAGACAGACTCGGAAACATTTAAATCATGTTATAACAGACTGCCTTTGCCTAGATGCAGAAAAAGTACAGAGGAGGTATGTACAATTTCATATTACATCACTGTATTTCCCAGGCAGGAATAGGTAGTTTGACAACAATTTACAAACATTTAAACAGGACCCTAATTATGGTTATATTTATCCTTTAAAAACAACTTACTAAAACTCCCCCCACCTTAATTTGCAAATTTTTCCCCACAGAGTTCTTCAGCTCACAGAATGTTAATGCATTTGAACATGTTTTTATGAGCAAAATAATAAATTCTGCTGTTGCTTGGGGTCCTATCTATTCAAACTCCTAAGTCCTTTGGGACAGAGCCCATCTGCCTTGATTTATACAACACTTCACAGAGTGGGGTCCCTTCTAATGAGTAATAATCCTTATGATGGCAAATGTATCAAGATACAACCCTGAGAGTCTAGCTGCAGAAACAGAGCGGGGTCCCATTCACACTTTTAATTAACAAACACATAAACCATCATAGTTATTTACCTGTAGGAGTAATCTCAAGGGAAAATAACAAATTTTCATTCTTTTGGTTCCCCGCCTCGGCTGTTTCCAAAGATGTCCCCTGTGTCTCTGGACGGTGCCTCCCTGAAAGAGGTCTTTCAGCTTCTGCAGCCAGTCTTTGAGACTTCTCCAGACCATGAGCTGTCCCTACACAGCCTGCTTAAATTTATCCTTCAGTGAGCTTCAAATTAGGATCATGAAACACTTCGAACGCTTCCTGCTTCTTCAAAGAGCACGAGTGCACAGACAGGAAGGCACTCTGATGCATGGACCTTGGGGAGTCTCCCTACCATCAAGAAAGCTCCTGCCTCTTGAATGCGGACTCTAGTATACCACATAAGCTTAAGTGTGAGTCTGTGTCAGGCAGAAACAGAACACAATCATCACTGCCTGTTTCTGGCCAAATGCATCTTGACAAAAGCTGTGACTACATTTAGAGTGTGATACAGATCCATGTGTGATGGTTTATCTGCTGCTCTGATTCCTTTTCGTCAGGAAAAAGATACAATCATTGCCATACTTCAGCTGGCAGGCTCAGGTGTGCAAAACCTCAAATTAAAAGTTAGTTTTCCAAGGTTAAATTCCAAAACATTTTGTACCACTACAAATTTAAAGGAAAGCAAAAATGATGACTACCCCAAACCCAGACAAAGTAAAGTAAGTAAACAACAGAGTAAAATATCTATATGAAACTTCATGGAAATATTTTCAATCATTTCTAATATTCCCAGTTTGTTTTCATCAGCTTCTTCAATTTATTCAGTGACCAACCTAGTTACTCATGGTCTTGCCTACAACTTCAAAAGAAGTTTCCAAGAGCAGGTCACTGTGTCTCAGAATACAAGCTTCAGTTTTGTTTCTTGCCTGGAATCAGCAGAAGCCTTTTTATTACCTTCATAGCATAGCAGAGAGAATTTAGAGAAATGATCCAGAGCTGCGCATGTATTTTGAAAGAGATTCGCAGTAATTCCTCTGCACCCATTTGTTATGCTAAACTACACACTCCAGACCAGGTTTGCTTCTGGTTATTCAGTGGTTTGGGCTAGTGCAGGTTAAATATGGCTTAAGATGGTAGCAACAGCCAATGGTCAATTTATGACTTCACATCAGCATTCTGGGGGAAGCTAGCTTTTGGGGGGAACTCCAAAGTACTGCTCTTCTGTATAACCTACACAGTCAGATTTGTGGGAAACAAGTACAGGGCTGGAGCCCTCAAAAAACTGCAAGGAAATAATTTGCATGAATCTCTGCAACAATACTGCAGAAGCAAAAGATGCAAATTTAGGACAACAGAGAGCCTGCGTTCATTTTAGTGACTTATTTTAATGTGAAAGTAATGAAATAAGCATTTCAGTGGTGATGCAAACATTTGACCATACTGGCTTCTCTTGCATTACATGAAGTCAGTACTGAAGATGACAATTGCCTGTTTCCAGTTATTCAGTAGGCAGGAATAGTTTTGCACGCTTTGATACGGTCCTTGATAACCCCCTGACTTTTACGAGTTAGGTGGCAGGCAGTCTTTCAGACATGACTGGCTAAACTCCATCATTTGTATGAGGGGAATCCAGCCCACTCAATCCTCTGCTGTTGAAGTCAGTAGGGTTATTGAAGGGAAGCACAATCACACTAAAGGTGGTGTGGCGGCGGTCACCTACATGTCCTCCTGCTGTGAGAAATTGCTGAAGAGCATTGAGCACAAAGCTCAGGGCCAGATCTAGACTTCAACAAACTGTGAGATACTGGTTTAGCCAAACCTTACCAACCCCATGTTTGAATATGGAGCCAAACTTGCCCACAATGCATTTTAACACAGAGTTTGGGTTTAGACTCTGTTCTGAAGAACAGGCTGGTTTTGACACCATCCTAACCATGCACACCATCCTTCTGTAACTGCATCAGATTCTGCATCAAAGACATCCAAGTCTCTTCCAAAAGACCCTCAGGGGAAAATTGTAACATAATGATAAATATCTCAATGCATATTAGAGAAAACTTATAAAACCCCCAGAGACTAAAATGCTGAACGCCCAATGAATACCAAGGCTGTGTCTGAATTTAAAACTTTCCAGTAGCTTACAGTGATAATTCCAGCCTAATCACCATTTCATTTTTATTAGAGAAACAAAAGGAATTTCAAAAACTCTACCTAGAATCACTCGTTTCTGCCAAGCGGTTGTTCATGATGGCTAGAGCACCCACCCCTGCAGAGAAACCGTTTTGTCTCGTATTGATACAAACATTCCTGGGGTAGCCGTTGGCTGTCTCAGACAACTGCTTTTGCAAAATGGCCAGGGAGACCTTATTGGATGCCGTGAGCTCCCTCATGGAGATCATCTCTCCAGAGAGCCTCCTCCCCTCGGTGTCACTGTCGTACTGTCCATCAGTGTCCACTGAGATGTTATGTCGACGCAGGCGGGCTCCGGGGGTGATGGCGTTGCGACGGCTGAGGCGGGTACTTGATTTATGGCACTTTGGGCAACATCTGCATTCGAATTTTTTCAACACCCAGTTCAAAACTTGCTTGATTACAATTGAAATGACATTAAAAAGAGAGTATATGCAACATACCCCCATAAATATAAATACAAAGTTTCCGAATCTGTATAATCCCTGATTTTGGTATGCAGCGTTCTGGCTGCTTACCAAATCTCCAAAGCCGATGGTGCTGAACGTGACAAAGCAATAGTACAAGGAATCAACGTAGTTCCATCCTTCTACCGCCGTGTACATTGCGGAGGCGCAGCAGGAAAGGGTAATAGCAAATATTCCCAGAATCAGCAACACATGGTAAACGGATGGCTTCCAGCCCACGAGGCTGCCCACCCCTGACATAGCTGGCCCCCTTCGGAAGTTGGGAGGTAGGAGACCACTTCTTCGCAGCTGTCTCTCGTGGCACGCCTTCATGATAAATGCCAGGAGGGAGATAATGCGCTCCAAGAAGAGGTTGAAGAAAAGGATAGTCCCAGCACACCCAAAAAGGCCATAAACGATGAGGAATACCTTTCCAGCCACAGTTGCTGGTGTGGTCATTCCAAAACCTGTGGTGTGGAGATAAATGGGTAATGTTAATGACATAGGTTTTCATGTGTAAGCTCAGGATATGTGTATTTAACAAGGGTCTCATCTCACTGGACAAAAGGAGTGCTATCTCTAAATCAGCTTAGGCCAACATAAAACTGAGTTCTGCAAAGAGCAAAGAAGGCACCAGAAAGCTCAACAAGATGACTAAAACCGGAAAGCAAGAAAAAAATCCTTGCACATACGAACAGCAGTGTATTAACAGAGCAACACCACTCTGTAAACGCAGGTGGAAGGATCACCGAGCCCAAACCTCTTCAAGGTGGGATGAGGTGAAGAGATCACTTCACTGCTCCCATATGTGCCAGCCCAGCATGACCTGATGGAAAGTTTAAGCTCTATGTTCACAAGTTGTAACCCACTGTAACACTTCTGTTATAGAGGTCCAATTATATAATTCCTGCTGAGAAGAGGCAAGTTTTCAGGCTGTGTAACTCACCGCTCATATATCAAATATTGTTTTAAACATAACAGCATTTTAAAGTCTTATCCAAATCCCAACTGCAACTAGACCACCTGGTATCATCACAGAGGGAAGGAAAAGCCATCACGCTGCAGAGCTGTCTGGCAGACTGGGAGCATTAGGAACTCTCAGACTGATAATTACAGCAGGGAAAAACACTGCTGCAAAGTTTAATAGAAAAATCAGAGTATAAACACTCAGGGAAGATGCAGCAACAATATTAATTCACCTCTTCTTTATAAGAATTACTTATTGTAATATTACTTATTATGACATTACTCATACGCATAATTTTATGAACAAGCAGTAATATCTTGTAGTTACAGATGGTTAAATAACAGCAAAAGTGATCTTAAATTTGCATGCAAATAAATACAGTAAGTTCACTCCATGTTATTTGCTGATAGCAGTTGTATTATGGAAATGATTTACATATATTTCACATACTATCTCAAGAAGATGCTCCTGAAACTCAATTCTGCAGGTATTGCCCTTGTTCTACTACTCTTCCCTGTAAGAACACTTGGTGGTTCAGTCAAAAAGCACACTGACAGGATCGAGGTGACTGCTCATGTCCCATTAATAAGTAACTGCATGTAATCTAAACTAATGGCCTGTAAAAAATCCACATGCTGAAATTATTGTTCCACAAAAATACTGAGCAAGTAACATATTCAAGGAGGTAAATACCAATATCAGACCACATAAATAAAAGTTTGTAAAGTTTCAAGTCCCTTCCAACCCAAACCATTCTATGACTCTATGATCAGTACCTTCACAGTAAAACCAGCATTTTCTGTAAAAGTCAGTGAAAAACTTGCACAGTATTACCAGAAAATATCACCAAAGAGGTGATATTTTGTTTTCTGGACCCACTGTATCTCCACTTTGTAGTGTTAAAAAAGACCACCTCTGAGCAGACCTGAAGAAGCCTGCCTTGGGGTCCCAGGTTTAACGTGGCTCATTGGGAAGCTCTTCCTAGTTCCTTCTCCTCTGTGGGGTAGACCTGTTCTTTGGATTGGGCTGGCTGCTAGCAGGAGCCGTCTCATCTAATGATGAATAGTGCTTGGCCCTCAGAAGAAGCTGGGGAGCCTGCTGCAGTTGCCAGCTAGAGATACACAGCCAGCTTGTTATGGAAAAGGCATCTGTTCGCCTCTGCCTTGTCAGCAAAGCATTTAAACATGTGCTTCACAGCAAGCATGTGAACATCACCATCAAAATAAATGGGTTTATTGTCCCACATATGGCTAGACACATTTATTAATTAGGGAAAAAAAAAGAGGTAGCGACAGTTTGGATCAAGTTGTAAATGTGCTGAAGCTTTTCAGTATTTTCGGTGATCATTCATGTGAGGTGTTGAAGTTTTATACTTCTGATGTTTTGAGATTTTCTGAAGCATAATGTCACCAAAATTCAGTATGCAGCTATGCAAGGTGAAAGGACCCATCACAGCAACGAGAGTGCTAAAAAACAGGTGAGACAAGGAAAACACAAAATCATAGAATCATTTAGGTTGGAAAAGACCTTTAAGATCATTGAGTCCAACTGTTAGCCCAGCATTGCTAAGCCCACCACTAAAACATGTCCCTCATGTAACTTCAGGTCAACAGCTGGCTGAGGGAAGTGCACTCACATACTCTCCACACAGGGTCTTCCTTTGCCAGCCGTGTTTGTCCCTTTGGCACCACCTGGACCACGGGGGGGGTTAGTCTCAGTCTGTTCTGTACACCACCTCTGAGCTCAGCCCCCGCTCAAGGCTAAGGTACATCATGATGCCTGGATGAAACAAATTAATCCAGAACTGCCTGTGCCTCTGAGACAGTACAAGGAAAAAAGCACAACGGTGCTTTACATTTTTCATGGCCCTGAGACATATTATACAGGTACCTTGGGGTTGACTTTGTGTGGCTCAGATGCAATATTTCAACCTCCCTCACACTAATTCTGCCTCACTCTGATCCACCAGTTCAAATACAAGCTCTATGGCAGCAATAATTTCGTGTGTTTGATACTTCTCCTCCCCAAACAGAATCAGCAGAGACGAGTTGATAAACACTCTCTTCAGCAGCCTCTCATGAGTAAATGCTGACAATAAATAAGACCCTCATCCTGACTTGTTTAACAGGTTCTGTGGTTACAATTCTGCTCTTCTGGAGTTTAAATTACTTAACCTGCTGATGGATTCAAGAGGTAGTACAGCTGGAAAAACTCGTGACATGCTTCCTGTTGTTCTTGCTCTCTTTTACCTATTTTCTTATGGGTAAAAGAGATAGTTGATGCCAGAAGATAAAAAAGAATAACAGTTTTAGTACCTATGAGCTCTTCTTTCAGGCCAATTGCTTTGTCTTACTATAGTTTGAGATTAAAAAGGTTGAAAATTTTCCAGTAAAGACGTATTTATCCAGAGGTGGAATAAAGTTTGAGTCACTTCAAGAACTACACAAAAAAAAGTCTTCCAGCCTTTACAATGGCATAATGTGTCCCTGCCTCTCTCAGGCACTCCAGTTCTTCTTATACAGCTGTCCTGCTATGGGACTTCGCTCACACAGCAAGTCAGCACACCAAAACAATAATTTTTAAATCCTAGAGTGAAACAGTACAGATTATCAGAGTAGCATCACCTCTACATAAATATAATGTAGCTACATTTAAAGGAATAAAAGAAACTTAAGTGGCTGAATACACCTTTTTAAACAAATGATTCCTCAGAAATAAACAATAACAAGAACAACCATAACCAGAATTCTGCTTCCAGAGGGAAAGAAGTTCTTGCAACACAAAGACTAAGTTCTTGCAGGATTGGTCCCCAAGAGATGGGGGTTACAGAACACAGACAGAGAAACAAAGAGCAAGCAATTTTGTTTCACGTCTGTTCCATGCTTGCTTTACTTCATAGCTTTCCAACAGTCCTGGTTGGTCTTTATTGACTAACATGTAGGAACTAACATCAAGGAAGAAAACATCCTATTCTGAATTCCAAGTCTGGGTTCTGGTGCTTCCTCCAACCCTTTTCCACCTGTTGGCATTTCATTATTATTTCCCCTGAGAATCATACCTGTATATTTCACAACTGCCTCTCATCTATTCTATAGCTCCTCACCACCTAACATTCAGAAACAGTTGCCTTGGATACAGGGTCACAGCTGAGAGCTGACAAAACTGCTGTATCCAGTGCTTTTACCCAAGGAATGAGACTACTACAAGTCAGTTCTTCCACCTGGCTTTGCATTTTCAGACTACAAATTAAAAACTTACTTTCCCTTTAACACTCTTTCTCAGCCCGCTTTACTAAAATACTGTAAATCTTTTTAGAGCTTTTCCACTGCAAATCCTTTAATATCGAAGTTGCTCTAAAAATCCCATTTGATCTTATTTAGATTACTGTCTGGAAACAGCTCCTGAACAGAAGCAATCTGTCTAGCACTGGACAAATTAAGACCTTTTAAGTTAGACCTATGCGATGTCTGAAGACATGAGCTACAACTGCAGTTTTTAGAGCTGGCCTAACCTGGATCATACACAAGCTCCTAGTCCTTGGTGACCCATGCACTGAGCAGATATTCCATGGAGAAAATGCTGAGCGACCACGCAATTAAGAACTGACTCCCATAAACATTCTACCTATTGATCGACCCATTCATCCATCCACCCTTGGTCATACCCATACACCACCTCAAGATGAATAAGCAGACAGTTTCTGGCATTTCCTAACTTTTTAAAAATTATTTTAAAGGCATTCCTTTAACATGCGGAACAGACTTGTTGTCCCCAGAGCCTACAGTAAATAGGTGGTCAGAATTCCTGTAAATTTGCTGTGTGAACCAGAGTGACCTAAACCAAGTTCGGATTTTTTTTGGTTTGTTTGTTTTCCTAACTGAATGTTCAATATATAAAAAAGTGCATACATGCACCCAGAGACTTTGTGAAAAGATGCCCAGTCTATTCAGTGACCTGAAACACTACCATGATAAACTTAATGAATGTAGTTAAAAACCATCCAGGTCTCTGCTGTTGCTCCTTGTTTCATCTCCATCCATGAAATATTAGTCAGGTGTTTGAGATAACTGCTACTAAAAAGGAGCAACAGTGGCAGAACAGAACCAGGAAATGATTAATTGAACATTAAGGAGTTTAAAGGAGCTGCAGGCAATTATTAAAGACTTTCCACAGCATCAGTTTTATTCTGTTTACACACAGCTGTGATCAGGTTATTGGTTATCCACAGCACTGCAATGCAGTGAACACCAGAATCAATCACCCTCAGCATTTCTCTGCTGGACATGATTTAAACCACAGGCTAAAAGGTCACGGCCACAATACTCATTCTTCTTTAAAGTACATTGGTTTTAAAAAGGGTTAATAGAATTGTAAGCCTAAAATAACCCAAGCTTCATTGGGAAAAAAAAAAAAAAGTGATTAAATTTGCAATGATGGCATTCAATAACTGAAAGGTGAAGTTAATAAAATAGTTGTTAGTTACCAGGTGCATGTGAAAGG